TGGACGCCAGTGCAAAGAGGATGATGGCTGGAAAGTCGGTTTTTTCTTGATTTGCTGTCTTTGTTTGGGGAATATTGTCTATATGGGGGGTTGGGCTGACTGGACGTCGAAATCATCTTTTCTATGTTTGGAACCATTTTTTTTTTCTTTTTTTGTCGCAACTGCGGAATTTTGTACTACGCAAAAAAGTTGCATTACCTACATGCACATAGGTTATGTACAAACGAAGCGGATTTTTACGGCTGGCCAGCGAGGCACGGAACTCGCTGGTATTTTCCAGACCACGATGACAATATTTTGTTTTTTGGAACTGTCCTTGTGTGATTTCTTCGTCTTGAGATCTACTGACTAGGAAAATTTGGTTGAAATCATTACAATTGGGATGGGCGCGATGGAGTGTACACAGCGACATCTCTGGGAGCACAAACTCTGCGCAAAGGCGCATTTTGCAGGAACAACAAGCTCTCGATGGCTTCAACTCAACTGGATTCAACACCAAGCAAACGATCAACGCAATCAAAAGCCGCACGATTTCGGGCGTCCAGCGAGGCCAGCCCGCCGCAAACGTGGGGAGGGGACCGTGTTGGCGCGGTTTCTCTCTCCATCCTGTGTCTGAACCTGGGGCCATCGTGCCGTTTGACGTTTCCAAAACCAACATTGTGACATTTCTCTCGAAGCTTTTGGAAGCCATCGACTCGCTTCACTACCTTGGTAGGCGCAGCAAGCACCACAAACACATCTGGCGACAGAGCAGAGAAACGTGTGTTTTGAGGCAATTTACGTGCCCATCACGATATCCAGTCGTAGCGTTGTTCGGTAGTTCCGTTTGGCGCCTGGGGCCTGGCTGCTGGGCTGGTGTGACGAGGTTTGTGTCAACTGGGCAAGTGCGAGATGAGCGCGAAGAGGCGAAGGGCGGTGTCCGGAGCGTTTGGCGTCGTGTTTCTCGTCTGCTGGGGGAGTTGGTTGGATGCCACTGGGACAGCGCAGCATAGCATAGCCAGCTTTCCCCCTTCCAGCGGGGTGGTGGTAGTTGGCGATTTCACTGTTTGGTAACTGGTACCGATGACCTGCCTTCCCTTGGGGGTTGCAGTACGGCCCCATCAGTAAGGTCTGGCGTTAGCCCCAATCTTCTGTGAGGAGGAGAGCTGTTTGAGGTGGTATGGTGATCCAAGACCCTGAGATGTGATCTCTGCATTGGGCAGCGTGGTGTGGCCAGGGAACTTCCCTCCCCCCACAGGAAGAACTAGAACGCAGATGATAACCAAAAGGTTCGAACGCACTGCCACCGCCGAATGTAGGTTACCACACTCCACACACCACCCTTTCCCTCCTGAACGTCCGCCCATTCCTGACTAGCGGGAGAGTCTCAAGAGGCTACGGAACGTAGAAGATGCGTGTCACACATGCTGCAAGGATCTTTGGGCTAGCGGCAACGGGTTGAACCTTGGGGAGAGGGCCACCACCCAAATGATGTGCGAACTGGCCTTGTCGGTTATCGTGGACGGACACAGCCTTGTTGTGATTAACTGATGGTGTGGGGACATGTTGAGAAAAACAAGCTTATCGCTGTCATTGATTCTCTCTGCTCGTCCCCCTTGTTCTTGGCTGTGTGGGCGATGATCTGCTCAGTCAGAATCTCTGATGTAGACCGTTTCGGGTGCGGGATTGGGACGATTTAGTGACGGGTTTGACGGGATGATGTGATACGGGGGGGTCTGGCCAACTAGCGCCAACTCAACACAGCCCTTTCTTAGTTTTTTCTTCTTTTCCTACCTACTGGTTCGTGATCGAGACGTTGACACAGAGTAGTTGGTCCGTGATGGGGTTTCTGTTGCAAGTTTTGGGCGTTTGGCTGTTGTGACGTTCTGGAACCCCCGTCCCTCCCCGGCCTCCATCGAAAGGTCCTCTCGACGGACCGTGACAAGATTGTTTTAGATGGTTGTCATGTCAAAGTGTCAGCGGCGTCTGTGGGCAAAGTGGGTAAAATCGGAGAATTCTTTCTTCATCGTTTTGCTTTTCTGCCTTTTTTTTTTTTCTACCCTTGGTGGTTGGCGCGTGCTGGAAAACGAAAACGATGGCACGGCTTTGGAGGAGAGAGGAGGGATAAGCACAGGGAAAGTCGGGGACCGCCCGGCCGGCATCCCGGGCCTTGGCTCTTTACCCCTCCCCCCCTTCGCCTAACGTGGTCGGGCTTTGGCCCCCGCCGCCTCTTGGCTGGAAGCCGCATCGGCACGCGGCGGCCGGGTACATCTTGGCCCTCCCACTAAGATACTTATCCTTCGTTCAAGGTTCCGGCGTTCCTCTCTTTCGCGCATCATTGCCAGGGATATGTGCGCTCTGGGCTATCGATTGTAAATCCCCTCCCAGGGATCATGGGCTTCTCCGTTTCGGGAGAGGGATTAGAAGGGATGCTCCCCGAGGGTTGACGTCGGAGTTTAGACTGCGATGCGTGGTGTTGAGGGTTGCCGGTCAGGACGCTCGCCGTGGAAGGGTTCAGCGATGGGGGAGGGAGGCCGGGGGCGCGGCCCGGCTGCGGTTGCTTGCTCTATCCTTCCATCAGACCCGGTGTGGACCTTGGCGATGAGGTTATAATGTGTCAACACTGTGGCGCGTTCCAAGACTTTTTGGCCGTCGTGTGAGGCACGCTGTGATTGAAGAGGGTTGACAAATACCGTCGACGAGAGGGGGCTTACTGAGAGGGGATGCTGGTGAGGTGGACTTTGGTGTAAGCCGGGTACGCGTCGTGAACCTTGGATGCGGTACCCAGAGGCTGGGAACAAGAAGGGTTCGGAGATTTCATCAGACAGAATGTGGTTTGACGTACCGCGTAGTAAGTTGCCTGCAGGCTGGAAAGCGTGGCGATGCAGACTTGGGCGGTCTCTGGTGATGGCTCCACTGAGGAGTGTGTAAGTGAGGTTCGGAAGACGCGCCACCGTGATACAACGGGATGAACAGATCTACGGCGGACCAAGATGAACAGAGTTGCGAGTTACCATGGCTCGTCACTCATCGTTAGCCATGCGCATGAAAGCGATCAATGCTGGTCAGTCCTGGTCAGTCAATGCAACCAAAAATCGAAAAAGAAGAACCCGACGGATTGGACTGAGTCAATCGTGGTGAGGATTTGAGCCTCACGCGGGGGTCGAACCCGCAACCTTGAGATTAAGAGTCTCACGCTCTACCGATTGAGCTAGCAAGGCGGGTCTGATTATTAATCAAATTCCAAATTTGGCAGTCCATGGAGCCTGGACTTGGGTGGCCGCGTTCCGTAGAGTGGTGGTTGACGACTGAGCCTGGCTTTTAGCTGGCGAATATCGTTACCTCTTTTGCTCCGATTTTCTTCTTTGTCCGTTTTCTTTAGGTATCTCCTAGGTTGCAAGCGTTGAGGCTGGTTTTTTTTTTTCAGGGCGGTGTTATCTTCACAGGTGATGAGGGGGCATAGATCTGAGATCTCGACATCAATCGATCCTCGTCTTGGATGGACTGCCTGTGCCAAGATAGAAAACTCTGGTGAATCAAGTTATACATATCAGTCCCTTTCCTTTTTTTGTCAGGGATATTCATAGATTCTTCGCCTAATGAAGAACTCGTGAGATATCAAGACCAGTAGTTACTAACTTTGAGTAGTAGACTTGCTACTTGTAAAGCCAGTGAGGAACTGGATAGACTGATAATACAACTGAAACTAATCAAAGGCTTAGCTGAGTGTTATTACGGCGCGGTCTCACATAATACCTGATTCTCTTCAAGACTCTTCTCAGTCGCCATTGTGAAACAGCTGCCCATAGTGTCAACCTGACAGCAAAGTCTAAGCATAAGCGCCGTGTTGCTTTCTGGACAAGCCTTTCATTTTGGGGTCCGCCTCAGCTAAACCTCAATTTCATATGACATTAATAGGTTGATAGGCCGTTGCATCTCTCGGCAACGCCATCTCTTGAATGCGAAGTCCAACAGTTGCCTAGATCCTAGGGATGCTGGCTAAAATGTTCTTACTTCGAGCGGTGTTCCCCGATCCGATGCAGGTTGGGAAGTGTTTGTCTTGGAACAGAGCTGGTGCACGAAGAATCTGAATCATAGAGCTTCCATGCAGGCTTCTCGCCAATTCCCTCTTGGCAGGCAACCCCCCAAGGACACATTAGACTATTCTCGGGAAAGAAAGGAAACGATAAGGGGCGCATTGAGCACGTCAATACAGTAGCCGGGCCAGCTTCGTCACGTAACAATGGGGTAGGTTTAGATTAAAGGATACAGACGGCTGACGAATGATTGCTTTGGGCATTTGGATACATTTCTAGGATTTCAATATCGACCCGTCTTAGCGATGGCGTGGGAGGACACAGAGTTGAAATGCCAAGCAAAGCCTCTCACTTATTGGCCATCGCTCTCATTCAGATCGTTGGCTATCAGTCGCTTTGGTGTTAAAGAGCGCAAGTCAGCAAGTTCATGTCGTGGCTTGGACACATAAGCTGGAAACGAGCAATAAGTTTAGATTCGCTTGGATTCCTCACACTGTTTCTTCTCGTTGTAGCTTTCAGCGAGGACACAGGGGTGCAACCTGAGCTGATTTGTGCATATTCATTCGGTGAAGAAGACCGGGGATCGCGCGACGGCTCGTTTCTCATTCGCCGAGATTGATGAATGCATCGGGGAGCCCGGAACGGCCCCACTACAGTCACATTGACGGACCGTTGATTAGCTCCCGACCACAGGCAAGGACGAGGGTTGAATCTCGAATGGGGAAACTGGGACGTCTTTGTGCATACCGAGCCTGCACAATCAACTTCTCTTGCGCCAACAATGGGTCACCAGCTCGTGAAGAAATGTTGGCGCCGGCGGTACAAATGGCCCCCAAATGTCTGGGTCCAACTGCCCCCTCGCCGTACCCCTCTTCCTGGAGCTTTGCGTTCATCTCTCAGTCGTTCTGGAGAAAATTTCCGTCACATTCGACCCAGTGCCAAACTGTCGGTAATCTGAGTTTGCAATCGTTTCTTGGACCAAAGATGAACATGGCCGACTCGTCAAAAGCCCCACGTTCGCCAACGGGTTCGCCTCCCGCGGAGAAGACCATGTCCCCTGAAAGATCCAAGACTGCATCCCCGAAGTCCAAGACTGCGTCTCCAGCGGCTCCCGGTTCACCCGAGGCTGTTGCTCCCCAAGTTGATAATAACATCGAAGTTGACAACACGACCGGTGTATGTTGAGTACTTGGCGTCAATCCGTTGATTATCCATGTTCTAACATTGGCACTAGGGTGCTGCCATTGTAACCGACGATCAATTGTAAGAAAGCTCTGTTTTACGCTGTGGTCTGAGGTTGATGTTTTAGATCGGCATACACTGCATCTGTTACTTCGAGTGTTCTTGACTATCCAACGGAGCATGGTCGACGATACCATGCGTTTCGCGCCGGAGGTAAGACTTCACGATCGAGACAGCTGACTTGGGATTACCGCTGACGCTAGCATAGCCTACTATGGCCCGAATGACGAGGTGAATACCATACCCCGGCCACCCACAAGGTTCCTAAGACATCAAAGATAGCTGACGAAATGCTAGAGAGAATTGGATCGCCTCGACTTTCTTTCTGCGCTTGTTGTCAAGACCGTTGGAAAACTCTACTATGCACCTTTGGAGCCAGAGAAGACCAACCGAATTCTTGACATTGGCACCGGAACCGGAATCTGTCTGTAACTTTCCTGGCTTGGCCTTTCCAGGTCTGAGACTGACAAGATATGACACAGGGGCTATCGAAGTGGCGGAGTTCTTCCCTAACGCGGAGGTGAGCCATACCCAAGCCTTCACGAGGGTCGAGTCTATGCTGACAGTGTGTGTGACAGATCATTGGGAACGACTTGAGTGCTACTCAGGAGACTTGGTATTTGAGCCTCATCCCTCAAGTCGCAATGAATGAGCCCACTGACCAATTGCAGGGTCCCGCCGAACGTCAAATTCGAAGTCGACGATGTTGAGAGTCCGTGGGTTGGGAGATCATACGACTACATTTTCTGCCGCTCCATGGCAGGCGCTATTGCCGATTGGCCGAAATTGGTCAACAATATCTTTGCGTGAGTTTCTGTCGAAGTAGCTATTGACATAGTAGGCTCACATTATCTCTAGGAACACCAACCCAAGCGGCTGGGCCGAATTCCAAGACTGGGACCTTCTGTACCGGTCGGATGATGGCTCATACACTGAGAAACACCAGACGCATAAAATGCTGAACATGTTTTTCGACGCATGTAAGATCATCGGCCGCGAGGCTCGGCCGGGTCCCCTAATTCCGCAATGGCTCGAAGATGCCGGCTTTGTCAACATCGTCCATCACAGGTACCCGATACCCGTTGGACCATGGGCGAGGGACGCTCACTACAAAGACATCGGGATGATGAACTTACACCAAGTGCTCGATGGCCTCGAAGCCTTCAACTTGCGACTTTTCACCGGAGTTCTTGGCTGGACCGAGGCGGAGGTCCAGGAGCTCCTCGCACAGTGTCGCAAGGAATTGAAGACGGGTGCGTTTCATGCATACATAAACTTGTGAGTCCTTCACCCAGACTGAAATGAGTGAACAATACTGAAACAAGATATCACCAGCCATGTCGTGTATGCTCAGAAACCAAAGTCTGAAGCGGCAAAATAGAGGACGCAATACTTGCGGTCCGCATTTTCCCTTCGCATCGCGCTCCTCAATAGAAGTATTAGCACCTTGTTGGTTAAGCAAGCGATTAAAATATGATTGTTCAAGCAACAGCACCTTTTCAGATACTTTCTCGTCAAGTTGCTACTGTCCACCAGTGATGCGGGAAATGGGCGCCCAATGTCTCTGCTTTCAGTAAATCGCTGACGTGCGCCGAATGCACCAAATATTCTCCCTCATATACTGAATTTCCGAGTCCGATTTTCGACGGAGTGGGTTTCTTCGATGACTGGATGACAACTACTCCATGTTATTTCTCCCGTGCCAAGCAACAAGCAGGCTGTAGTCACGGCTGGCCTGCGTTGTTGGAGTTCTATCACTTTGTGCCCTCCATTCGGACTGGAGACATCGATCTGAAGAGGAAACAAGCCCCGCAGCCTGTACTGATTTACGCAGTATGCATTTGTCGAAGAATATTGGGGATGAACCATCGGGACGAATCCTATTGGAAGTCTGGTCCCACATTAGCAGACGTTGATCAGCTGTGCACCCTGGACACTATCAGTACTGTGTGTTGGATTAGGAAAATGCTTCGTGCATCTGCATGCTGGGCATGTACGCATCGTGCGCCAACAATAGGTTAACAGACCTCAATGGTCGGTTGAAACCCACTGCAGAATATTATATTTATCTGAACTAAACCCCTCCGTTGGTTTCCTCTTCCCAACTTTCTCCTCACTTGTCTTGGCAGGTTCTGAGAGTATCTTCTATTCCCCCAAAGCCTTCCATTTTGACGCCGTCGTATTGCTGAGTCTTGTCAGTCGCACCAAATATGGCTGACACAAATAAATCACCGCGTCCGGTGGAGACTTCTTCGCCATCTAAGGCATCTCTTTCAACGACAGAAGCAACTTCTCCGAAGCCAAAAGCTGCATCTCCAAAATCCGTAACATCAGAAACTGCCTCACCCACTGTGCCAGGCTCGACGGCAGCCCCTGCGGAGCAAGGCGCTGACGAAACTGTGACTGCTCCCGTTGCCCTGCAAGTTCCAATCGAGGTTGATGAACGCGTCGGTATTTCCTTTTCCAGAGCCAATGACCATGTCTCTAATGGCACTTTTAGGTCAATGAAAATGATCCAATTCCGGACGATCAATTGTACAGTTGACCAAGCTTCTTGATTCCGATTTACGCTCATCATTCAGATCTGTTTCTGCGTACACGAAATCGCTAAGCTCAAGCGTGGTTGATTACCCCACTGAATATGGACGCCGTTACCATGCCTTTCGCCACGGTGGTAAGTCGAATGTGTTTGAAAATTCAACTTGGTTCCTAACCGCGTTCCAGCATACTATGGCCCAAACGATGAGGTAACCCTATGTCGAGTCTTTTGTGCAGCATACGAGAAATGAAAGTACTCTAACAGTAGCCTTACTCACGAACAGCAAGAGCTCGATCGTCTTGACTTTGTGTCTGATTTTATCATCAAAATGACCGAAGGGGAGCTGTACCACGCTCCACTTGACTCTACCAAGGTCCATCGAATTCTTGACGTTGGTACCGGAACTGGAATTTGTTGGTGAGCCTCTCACATCGCCATCTTCAACAGCTAACAGTCCCTAGGGGCCGTCCAGATTGCGGATGAGTTTCCCAATGCTGAGGTTTGCCGCTCATACGATCTCCCGCTCTGCTCCCATCTAACGATTGCCAGGTAATTGGGAACGACTTGAGCCCTGTCCAGATGGAATGGTGAGCTATGTTCGATGGTAACAAATACCTACCAAGGCATGCTAACGGACTAGGGTTCCACCCAACGTCAAGTTTGAGGTCGACGACGTCGAGAGCCCTTGGATTGGGCCCAAGTACGACTTCATCTTCAGCCGTATAATGGCCGGAGCAATTGCAGACTGGCCGCAACTGGTGCGGAATACTTTTGCGTAGGCAAAATCAACCACCCGCACACTCAAGCCCTTCCAAATGACTAACGTACACTAGAAACACCAACCCAGGAGGTTGGGTCGAATTCCAGGACTGGGATACTCTCTATCATTGCGACGATGGCACCCTTACCGAAGATACCTTCATTATGAAGATGGACAGAATGTTCATCGATTCCTGTGGTATGATAGGCCGGGACCCACGTCCTGGTCCGCAACTTGAGGGATGGTTGAGAGACGCTGGATTTATCAACATTCGTCACAAAATGATCAAAGTGCCGATCGGAACTTGGGCGAAGGACGAGCGTCTGAAAGATCTCGGGTATATGAATTTGGTCCAGATCACCGATGGACTCGAAGCTTATAACATGAGACTGTTTACCGGAGTCCTTGGGTGGACTCAGATGGAGGCTCAGGTGCTCTTTGCTGAATGTCGCAAAGAGATGAAGTCGAACCTTTACCATGGCCATTGTCAGTTGTAAGTATCCCCAAACTTGAATCCTTGCAGCGAGTAAGGTATGAACTCATGCTAATTTGTTACAGTCACGTGGTTTATGGTCAAGTTCCGGAAGCCGACGCGAAGTAAGAGGTGCGAAAATGAAGATATCTAGATGCCGATGTTGTTTTCTTAGATTGAATTGACTTGCCATATTGTGGGAGTAGTCCGTCTTTGTACATGTGTTACTTTTGATTAACTACTCAACCTCATCATGCTCCCCCGCAGGTTTGTGAAGAGACTGAGAAAACTTTATTTATTTTAAGGATCCCCCTGGGGCCTGAGTAGTACTCCGGCAGACCCGGGCTCTCCAGACGGCTCAGAAAATGACGTACGACTCAGGTTGCTCAGCTCACAACACTGATCAGCGCATTTCAGTTCCTGTCTTAGCACATCATCCCTGGCAATTACTCGAAAGCAGTATAATCCAAACCTTCGCTTTCGCAAAAGACCCAGCTACGCCGTGATGAGTAAACATAGCCTTTGAATGTTCAGTAACTGGTGTCGGGTACGCCGAGAGCAAGCATTAACAATCGGCCATGCTAGAAAGCCTTCAAATTGTGTATAAAGCCCCGTCGTCGAGATTTCCCGGACTTTGAAATCATTTTCTCAGCTACCTTATCTCGCAATTAATCGTACCAAAATCAAAATGCAGCTATCCAACCACATCATCGCCCTTGCTGCGGCTCTCTTCTGCGCGGCCACTGTCTCGGCTGACTGCAACTTCTACGACGGCGGTTGCCCCGCAAACACCTGTTTCTTGCGCGGAACGGACACACAGGTGGTCTGCTGTGACAACGGAGATCCGGAGTGCTAAACGAGGTGTATGTTAAACCTCTGCATCTTCTGATACCTCGTTGAAGGGGCACGAGGCGAAGTCTTCGAGGTGCTGACTTTGTTGAAGACTCTATCAAGCCGAGTGAACATAGTTGCAAGGAGTTGATTAAAGGGTTACGAAATATCGACGGCCGAGGCTCGATGGAGGAGATCTTTCAAGCCGTCATGATTGAAACTCTTCCCCAGTGTCAAGCAATTCTCTAAGGAGGGTTCGACCCATTCGCCGTTGGTCTCGACAGCGGCTTTGGTCGCGATTTTGTCCCGCCAGGCTTTATTGATGACCAGATTGTATCTACATAAGCGCCATGGTTCATGTCGCCAAATACATGCAAACATTTGACTGGCTTCCTCTTTTCGTCCCTTATCATATCTCCAGCTTTCAAAAGTCGTAGGAGTCACTCGCATACGTGCAAACCTGGGCGTATGTGGACACTCCATACAATCAAGCTCCCCCGGATCAGCCTCGTCTGTGCTGGTTGATTGGTAAGAATGCCGGAATCGGCGGCATTTGCTGAAAAGGTTTGACGACTTTGATAGATGTTGTAGATTACGAAAGACCGCCAAAAGAACTGACCATTTAACTATTCGGCCATGAGCCTGTTATCAAATATCGTGAACCTTTTCCAATGAGTCGACGCAAATACTGTCATATGCCGGCCTTCTGCGCCATAGTACCACGCATGCAGTCATCTTTAATCGGCCTCTACGGTATGACAGATTGACCGAAACTGAGTACACAAATTGGCGCTACAAGGAGTGAGGGGAGTGTTCGCACTCGAGCTGATAGCGATGAAAGCGGAAGCTTCGATGTGAGAGTAATGCTATTCAAAGCGGCAAGTTTATTGCGAAATTGTCGCAAAACGTCCTCGATATCTAAGGGGTGCAGGTGTGGTTGACACCGAGACAGCAGGCCCCGTATGTGTCATCATCATCAAGTTGGAGAACACCGCGAATCAGATAAACGGAGGACGTATCCAATGCGATGACGCAACTTATCTGCACCGAGATCGAAACCGCGCGCGACCCATTGGACAGCAATAATCTCCAGTCGAAAGCTGCATGCTGAGAATCTTTCATCAGCTGATGTTGGGGTAGTTAGCCAGCATGCGCCAATAATGCCTTGAGAACCGGCAAACCAGTGTTCCGGTTGCCTCAAGATGCCTTGCCGTTCAAGTCCGATGCCTCAAGCGTAAACGAAGGGGCTGTGTGATATCCTTACGGGGAGAAACCTTCACGTCATCTCCTACTGGCTCGCTAATTCATCTTCAGCCTTTTGGTGTTTTCTACTGGCTGGCAACGCGGGGCGCAGCTGAGCCGAGAATAGGCAGAGAACCAGGGCCTACAACAGGCTGCAGGACAGCGCGCTTTCGATGCATGCAGCCAGGCATCATGGTTTGCAACTAGGTCTGACCCCCTGCATAGGTATTGATGTGAAAGCCACCGCGATCGGTGTCGCACGTCAACCATATTAAATCCCCAGAAAAGACGATCGGGGGTGGGCTGGTAGATCTACTGCTAATTCACCATTGACTATGCTTTCAAGCACTTATCTACTCAAATGGCAGATCCTCTAAGCATTGCGGCCTCTATTGCAGGTCTACTAGCTGCGACTGGAAAGGTTTACACTGTTGTATCTGGGTTCATCGACAGCACTGCAAATGCGCCACAGTCAGCAGCAGCAACACTGGAGGCCGTTGGGGAGATCAAGCTTGCATTATCTTCTGTTCAGTCCATGATAGAATCGCTTCATCATCTTTCAGCATCTCGTAAAGGATTAATCCAGCTAGAGCATCTCGCTATTATCATTACGAATGCAGTCTTTACCCTCTCAAAACTCGAATCACTCGTCTGCCAGAAGGATGGCTTCCGGTATCGGTTGACATGGGTTTGGAACGAGAAGAGGGTTTTGAGTCTTTTGCCTCGTTTGGAGTCTCAGAAGACGTCGTTAACGTTGATCGTTAGCGTTCTCCAAAGGCACCGTTCAATTCCTTTGAGTTTACAGGACGAGGTTGACTGAGTTTTAGCCACTCCAATGCCGAGGCGCTTCGCTGCTACGACGAGATGCTTGTAAAGATGGAGCAGGTCCTCGAGCAGAATAGAACTCTCGGTCAACATTTGCAGCTTATGGAAGACCGAGGTCCTTTAGATGTTCGGTCCGTCAAGTTCATGGATGACGCGATCTCAATCATGTCCAGTCGCCGCTCACTACGCAGTATGACTTCGTTACCATTTTCAAGAGCCAGGCCATCGTCGTCATTGTCTTCGGGACAAGTTGAGTTCGCAAGATGGGACTTTGAGATTGCCCTTCAAAGGTCGAGAGTGTATAGTCGTTCTCACTCGAACCAGTGCGACGTATCTTACACAACGTCAACAGCGCCCACAAATGCGTGGAGCATGCTCTCCGGTCTCAGTCTAAATGATATCTCAGTCGTTTCTGCCTTCCGCCTACCCATCACCCTTAACGACGTACACTTGGTTGCCCCAGGGTCAACCTTCTCCGCCATGTTCATGGAGCAAGCTCTTCCAGTACGCCCGCAGGGTAAGTTGAGGAGGGCTACAATGCAAAACACATCGTACTCGAAGCCTGCAATGGCTTGGAACCGACAGACTTCTATACGAAGTTTAACATCAACCTCCATGGAGACTCGCGAGATCCCTGTAGCACGAAGAGTGCCGAGTGTGGAGTCATCGAGAGCATTGCCTAAAATAAAGTGAGTTTAGACATCAACCTTGGGATGGAATTCGGCTCATTTTCATGCAGAGTGGTCGTGATAGGGGACTCGAACGCATTGAAAAGCAAGATGATTCACACTTTCATGGGCGATGCCCCAGTTGCAGCACATGCAGATATCCCAAAGGGGTCTGATTGCTCGCGAAGCACTGTGAAGTATGCTTCCGGAACAGTTTACTTTGCTTCCATGAAGCAAGCTGTTGCGACTTCAGCTGACGCTCATCAGAGTGACTGATATTTATGTTGACCTTGAGCTTCACGACACCACTGGAGTGGAGGACTATTCTTCTCTCCTCCATATGGCATGTTCGGAAGTAGATGTCTTCCTGTTTCTTTCGCGAAAATACAGCGACACCCAGTTTCAATCCGTCGGGGAACGCTGGGTGCCGGAGATTTCTGGAATCTTTCCTGGTGTTCCATTTCTCATCGTCGGCACCCACGAAGGGCGTGACGAGAAAAGTCTAGATGAAGATCTCGCCAAGTTTGCAGCATCGTCCATTCGTGGAAGAAACTTGGCTGAAGCACTGGAGTCCGCTACGTGGACTGCAACGTGGGAGATGTACAGGCTGTTCAGGCCTTGATTGGTCAGGTGAGAATATATCCCCTTTTCTGGATTGCCATATTGCGCTAATCTGTATGATAGACAGTGGTAGCAGCAAAGAAGGTGAAGCTGTCAGTACGCAAACCCGAAGTTCCGGTTCAGGCTGCTGAAGCCGTAGACGCCATAACGGAAAAGGGCCCAGCCATTGACGAAACGCCACTGGATATTGAAGAGCCTGGCCACCTGATCTACGAATACGGAAGACTTTTCCGGTTCCATGATGGTCGTCTGTTCCAACGGAACAACGAGCGGGGTTCTTGGGACGAAATCATTTGGACGCAACGGTGAAAAAGTCTTTACCAAATCAGAGCCATGAAAGATGCATCCCGTTGCACGAAAGATCTGTAATCTTAATCCACATTCATGCTCATTTTGCTTCACAAACCCTTAGAAACAACATCGCTATGACGTCAGATCTCCAGAACTTGATCATTATCTGTTACTATCTGTCTAGACTCTTGAGTACTCCATTTGAAACAGTGAGACAGAGACTGCTAGGCCATGGACTGCCTCATGGAACAAAAGCTTCGGCCTGGATGTGATTGAAAACCGAGATGCAACAATTCCCCAGTTCGGTTCTTGTACTTCCGCGCTTGCCGATAACTGGACTTGAAGGGCGCACAAGAGCTTTGGTTTCTCCCCTCACGCGGCTTCACCTGCTTCATTCCGCGAGAAAGTAGACGGAGAACGGCGGGCACCGCAGGTGGTCTAAGGCTTTCTCGTGATACTTGACGGGCATCAATGAAGGCCTTACATTCCAGCACTTTCCTATGCCAAGTCGATAACCAACATGTCGAAACTGGGAGTATCTTTCCTTACTCATCGATCCCCGAACAGGGGCCGAGATCTGCGGCGACAGCCATAGGCCTCCTCGGACTTCAGCCGCTCATACGAACTCAGGTACCCGGCACCAATACCCGGAGCACCAGCCCGTCGTCATCTAGATCTCGATCGAGGGCTGCAAGAGTCCTGCGGGCTGCTCAGCTGGGAGGCGCTAATGCACCAATCGCAAATACCTCTGGCTGCCAAAGACAGGAACCACAAGGACCAGGACAAGGCCGTTAGTCATTTGGGGACCCTTCGAAGGAAAGCATGGATCTCAGTTCAGGTGGGGGCCGGAAATCAGCAAACCACCCATGAAAACCGACCTGTCGCAGATTCCAAGACCGAGGAAGGGGAACTGAAAAGTCTTTCCCCTCCAGAACGCGACTCGCACGCCCATCATGCCCACCCACACATATGCAACATTCCCCGGATCCTGTCTTCCTGCATACCCTAGTGGCGCTCCGTAGCCTCGTCCCTGGAGGCAGTGAGACTAACCTCCCAACGCAGTTGCAGTTTTCCCAATGTGTCGACCTGCAGATATCGGGGAGAGACATGCATGTACTGAGAATTCGGACAGCGCCCGTAAGCAAGCCCACATGCAAGACGGGGCATGAAGGGTTGTGCAGAGATATCACGCACGTCAAGGACGCCACAAAACACAGGTATCAAGCCTCATTTCCGTTTCCCCATCCGCACAGCCGTACGGCCTTATGAGATCGCCGTCTGAGATATTGAAGATCAGCAAGGTATTCAGCGACCCGTTTGAAAATTCCCCATCCGCCTTCCGCCTTCCACCGTCACAAAGTCTTTCATGAAACTCCCCTTGGAGGCGTTTCTCAAACATTGCATTCTTCCCAGCATCAAGACGCGTGGTCAGCTCGCCCGAACCACGCCTAGCCCCCGTGGAAAACAATGGGAACAAACCGGACAAGAGAACTAGTAAAACTTTGCAAGTGCCTCATCCGACACATGCCAGTTCATTTTGTCTCGACCCCGAATCTACTGAATCGTGGGTAGAGAATGTCAAGATAGACACACACATCAAACAGGCCAAGTCTAGCCCGTTATGAGAGCCAAGCCACCGAGAAACACACACACACACACACACACACACATTCAACGCTGGGCCCTTAGGCTCCCGCCCGCGCGATTTACCACGTCTCATTCCCCGATAGTGCCCGTTCCTCGGTCTATCCAATCCACGCCTGGCCCAGACAGGCCCGCAAAAGCCGTCCCGGCCGGCTCACCTCTAGTGTCTAAGTCCGTCTCCTTTCGACCCCTGCCACAGTGCGACTTCACCTGCACCACCCTTTCATCTCTGCCTCCAGGGCAATTTGAGCCTCCTCGACTTCACTGCACATGGTCCCAAGCACGTGGAACCTTTTCCGTCTAATCCTGCCTAAGGCTTCCCATCCGTGGACAGCTCCGATCGAGAACGCACGCCAGATGAGACAGTGCGGTGTTGAGTTGCCCTCAGGGATTCATAACAACTCAAATCCCATTCCTCGGGGTTTCGTATCCTCGTCCCGGAAGCCTAGTGCCTACACAAACCCTCTCCTGTGTGTTTACGAAAGACACGAGTTCAGAGTCAAGAATCTCACACGCCCCGGGCTCACGAAAAGCAATGTCTTCAGATTAGAGTTGCGTCCGTTCTCCCGGCCGCGCTACTCAGCTGAACCCGCCGCTAAGTACCAACACGCCCCCCTTCCACCCCCCTTTTTCTCGCCCAACCATCACCACTATCGCTAACTTGTCATCGTGGACCCCGTCGCGACGCGTCGGGGACCTGATCCACCAGATGCCAGGCACGACGCACGTCCGCGGGCCAGGGGCAAGGAAGACCCAAGGAGAAAGGCTAGACGTGCATCCAAGACAATTGCCAGGTTCGGGGTCGATCGTCCCAAGATTGTGGGAAAAGGGTCACCAACAGACGCGTCTCCTCCGGGGGTCCCTGGGCCCTGGCACCCTCGAGTTCTTGGGAGGCGTACAATGTTCACTGGCGCTTTTCCTCCAAATGGCGTAATCTAACCCAGCCATGGTAGGTGACCCTTCCCAGCTCACATCTCATATCCGTCAGAGCCGCTGGCCACGCGAAGTGCAGATACGAAGGGCAGGAAAAATCAAAAACTGGCGATGGTAAAACCATTCCTCTCAGAGGCTTCGACCCCGAGCCTAGCAGACAAGCGTGTAGAAAAACCAAACATGGCAGACTTGCTCAGTTCTCGACGCCGTCATGGCCATCGCCATGCTAACGAAGAACGCCTAGAGGGGTAAAAAAAAAAAAAAAAACCAATTATCGCAGCCTTTGTCAACTCTCACAATCTCACAATTCAGCGAATATTTCCTCCGCGAGAGTTTTCTTTTCGGCTTTCCCATTCGGAAGGCTTTGGGAAGAACTGGAGCCCGAGTGGCGCTGTCAGCCAGGCCTTCTTCACCACGAGGGCTCACGGCGGGGAGCAGCTGAAGTGAGCCATGGCGCCAGCTCACCCACAATAGGCTGTTTGGAAATGTCTTTCTATCTCGATTCAGTCTTCATGGCTGGAATATGATGCCGTTCGATGCCCGTATGTTGCTTGTTCCTTAGCCAGGTAAGCTGACATCAAGTGCCTTGATGAGCCCGGAGCCATCCTCGCTCTCTGGGTGGTTGTGAGTGACGTCAATCGATAAATGAATTATGGAGTCGCGCATGAGGACGAGTGAGAATCCCATCTTGTTTGAACCTCCCTCTTGAAACAGAATATTGAGTCCAAACCAACAATAGGCGATGATGGCCAAGAGATTTTGCCGAAGCCGATCGGGGACAAAATCGTCAATCAGGAGATCGCCTGGGAGACCCGATCGGGTGTACCATGTACGTAATGTATTGCCTACCTTAAGAATCGGGGCCCGGAGCAGCCAGGCTCCGGCGAAGCCCTTCCACCGAGAGTAGCCGGCCAACATGTCAATGTTTGATATTCCGTGCCTTGTAGCTGTGAAGCGAAGAGCAACGCAGCCAAGTAGACGATCCGTGTGAACAGAGGGCTCAATCCGCACAACTCTCCGCTGCGCTTCCCAAAATTGACGGTCCTCTTCATTCCCGCCAATCCCAGAGGTTTGATCCCGCCTGCTACCCCACCATCCAGGTCGGAGTCCGGGGTGCGGATGCGGCAGTCAACCCCGCATTCGCCGGCAGTCCCAGTTCCAGTACCAGGGCAAGGAAATATCCCGTGAATCCCGTCGACGCAAAGGTTCACGAGAGTGGGCGCGCCAAGTGATGTCGGCAGTGCTGGGAAATTCAAGCCTTGGCCTTAGCCTTGATGAAGACTCAGTCGATTATACAACCTTTCAATGACATCTCAACTACAATATGTGAACTTTGGATTTCAATCTGTACAGTCTTTGGTAAAGACTCATTCAATCGTCAATTTTGAGTTGAATGATACTAAAAAGATCTGTAAAGAACTTTGTACCACTCGGGAGCCCCCGGCCGCTCGCCAACAGCCGGGTTCCCCTGATTCGTGGTTTCGACAAACCCCCGCAACATGTGTGCCCCGTCTTCCGGTTCCCGACAGCACCCCAGGAGCCGCCAATGGCAGACAAGAATTAGTGCTAGCTCAAATGCGACTGTGCTGTCGAATTGCCGCCAACAGGGACGTTAAATCAGGAGAGGGCATGATCATCGTTGCCCCAAGTAAATAAGCCGTCAGCCCCTGGCATACGAGATCTCTCGTGACCTCCCATTCTGGGGTCTTTGCGGAAGGTAGGTTGCCTTTCTCAATAGGAGCTATGAAATCCATGTAACCATTCGCGCGGGTGGACAGGGCCTTCCACATGGATTGTTATGAAGCCGGCCGACGGGAAAATAGATGAGTGATGGAGCTGGGCCTATTATCGCCAAGAAAGTCAAAACGACACCTCGTATATCCCTCCGTTGACTTAGATATAAATATGATGGCCATCGATATCGTGTAATCGCCTACTCCAGCCTGAACCAGTTCATCTCATCTCTGCCCCAAGCCCGCTTCTGATCCCGCACCCGGCCCCACACTCCCCGTCCCGAGCCCCGTCACAATGAAGTTCTCCGCCATCCTCGCCCTCCTGCCCTTGGCGGCCCTCGCCACCCCGACGCCCACCGTCGAGAAGCGCGCGTCGACCTACTGCGGCCAGTGGGACTCCGCCGTCACCGGCACGTACACCGTCTACAACAACCTCTGGGGCATGTCCTCCGGCACCGGCAGCCAGTGCACTACCCTGACCGGCCTGTCCGGCAGCAACCTCGTCTGGTCCACCAAGTGGAGCTGGTCCGGCGGCCAGTACAACGTCAAGTCGTACGCCAACGCCGTCGTCAGCATCACCAAGAAGGCGTTGAGCTCCATCGGCAGTATCCCCTCGACCTGGAACTGGAGGTACGTAGTCCAAACCCCTTTGCCATCCCGTTCAAGTGAGAGAAGGAAAATGCTAACATGACCATACACAGCTACTCC